TCCTTTACTTATCCTCCAATACCAAATTAAACATAACCCTTAGCTAAACCCATATTATTGTTCATTCTCTTATAAGAAAATGATAAATAATTCCAGGATCCTTCTAATTAAGAATCTAAAGCAATCACACCTTTTTTTATGTCATTACTTATTAAATTATAAGTTGAAAATTCATATTCTTTCTTGCCCAATCTCATTTATAATGTAGTATCTTTAATATCATTATTTATTTATCCATTAACACTCTATATTAACTTATTATTCTTCAACTCTAACAACTTACTCTATGTTCCCATTCTAGCAATCTAATGAAAATCACTTCTACTTCCTAAAAATTTTGGAAAACTACTTAACCAACATGTCCATAAACCTATTGAATACTCACTCAATCCATTTATTCTTATATTATTATCATCTTAAATTAGAATCTGATTTATAATTGAATCTTATTAATCAAATGATATTTCATATTGATCCTATTATCCTCTCATTACTAATGGTTTTACCAACTAAAATAATCTTACAGCTCCATCACCATATCCAAAATTATAATCTAATTTCTTAGATTTTGCATAACTTTCAGGTCCCAAATATACTCCTACCTGAGACACTCTACCATTAAAAGAGGCAACTGTCTGATCTCCACCCAATGTAAAATATAATGAATTAGTATTCTTATGTTCTAGTCCTTCAAATAATACTTCCTCATTCACTCCTACTTTTATCATTATACCTTAAGCTTTCTTCTCCTCTTAATTAAATCCAAAATAAACATAAGTCCATACATTTGTTGTATATGATACTGATTTCACTATCATCTCACTTCCTTTACCCTCATTACCAGTCACTGAATAAGTATGAAAATTCAATCCTATATTTTACAATCCTCTTATAAAATGAATTTCTAGAGCTCTATCACCCAATTCTCTTTTATCTTTTACTCTCTATTTATTCGATCTCAAATTCATTATCTAAAATGAATTCAATTCTTTCACATCCAAATTATCAACCCATCTAAACCAACCTGCTATTGCATAATGTTCATAAATAAAAGAATCCTTAAATCCCTTCTCAAAACTACAATTTGTATTTCCATCCATATCAACTGGTGGCCCTACTATCACTTCCTCATGATAAGTCTTCAATCCTTATGGCATAAAAGACATTGTTTCAACCAAATTAAATAATTCCTATTCATTATCAATCAATGCAGGAGCTTCTATATCGTAAAAGATATTTGCAAATTAACCTTACAATCCTGGATAATGCAAATGCTTCCCTCCTACTGTCATTGACATATAAAATGGTGGAGCATGAGTACATGGTATCTCAATTCTCTAAAATTCCCTACCCTTACCATATGTTAAAATAAATCCTACTGATTTCTATTTACGACTACTATACGAGAATGACACAAAATACCATCTACCATCTATATTTTGATTCAAACTTATTTAAGCCACCTTATTCTTCTCTCTTCCAACATAATCATAAGTAGCAAATACAAATGAGTTATCCACCAAAAAGTTTGCCAAAGTCCTATCACCATAATTTTAAAAATCCAAATAATCTTTTATAGAAGTCAATCTAGATAAAAAATGATATTAATTTTATTGCATCTTGTGTTCTAAGGTACTCTAATACCTCATCCAAAATCCATATCCATACTCTTCAGAATCTTATAATTCTTTATTTGAAAATTGAATTTCATAAGATGCTTTTCCTTCAATAGTTGAATCATAAAATTTCGATTATCTAATCAAAATATTTGCTGTGCTCTATAACGGTTTATGTTTGAATGGAACAAATTTAACTGGGTCAATAATTTAATCAGGATTCTCATCAAGCCCTTTAGTAGGGATTTAGGATTATGTATCTGGAACCAATTCTGTAGGTAAGGATGGTTTTTATTCGCTAACCTTTTGAGGCTATAATTGACTTTAGTCAATTTCTATGGGAGGTTATTAAGATGGGTCCTTTTATTAAGTTTGAGGTTCGGTTAATTAATCAGGTATTTTTATTTATTAACTATTATCTTACTATTCTGAAGTCTATAATGGATTAGGTTATGAATTTTATTATTATGTTTATTATGTATCAGAAGTCTATTAATTTCCTTATTATGATACTTATTGGACTGCTCCTTATTAAGCAGATAGTTACTCACTCTATAAAGGATTAACTTGTTAAGCTTATGGTTATTATTAATTATTAACTTATTAAGTTTCTTATTATTTAGCTTATTAATTGATAACCTCCTAGTCTTATTAATTATTATTTGTTGTTTAACTTTATTAGGATTATTGTGATGATTGCTATTATGTAAGTGGCAAATCTTTTGTTTAAATATTTTAATCTTAAGTTTACAAAGTATTTTATTATTATTATTGTTATGAATTTGTTGCTTATTATTATTATTATTATTATTATTATTATTATTATTATTATTATTATTATTATGGCTATTATTATTATTATGGCTATTATTATTAATCCTACTATTATGGCTATTATTATTAATCCTTCTATTATGATTATTATTATTAATCCTTCTATTATGATTATTGTTATTAATCCTACTATTATGATTATTATTATTAATCTGAAAGTAATTATTAGTCTGTTAATTTAAATTCTTCTGCTTAAACTTTGATTTAAGTAGTTTGTTTCAATGAGTCTGGTATATCTGAAATGTCTTAAATGGTTTCTGTCTATTCATCTTATATATGATTTAATTATAACTCAGTTTAACTTTATTCATCATTATCATTATAAATATCTGATGATTCATTATTTTACTAATCTTAGATAACATCTTCATTCTATATTTCAGAATTATTAATATCTTCTATATATTTAATTTCTGAGTTATCCTCTTAATCAACATCATCAAGATTGACTTTATCAGTGATCACTTAATTATCTTGTTCATCGTCTTGATTTTAAGAATAGTTATTATCATATTCATCAAGTGTTGATAATTCTGAACTTGGAGATATATTTTATGAAACATTTTCTTACTCAATTTAATAATCAACATCTTGTTGATCATATTCATCATTATTTAATTTAATAAATCTTTATTATTTTTAATTTTAAATTGGTTGAATGGTTTCTACATCTTAATCAGCTTATTAAACATATTCTTATTCTTCTTATATATCAATTTAATTATCATTATTATCTTAAAATTCTTAATCATCTTAAACATCTGATTATTAATCATTATTATCTGTTTATCTTTTCAAATGATCTAAAATATCATCAAAAGAATTCATTTCATCTTAATCATCATTATTTTTTTCTTAACTTTAAACATCTTAATCCTCCAAAATATGGGAATCTTAAATAATATTATATTAATTCTATGGATCAAGAGCATCATATGGTTTTGAATCCTTTTCAACATAGTAATCGGTAAAGTCTTAATCCTATTATTCTTCTTATTCCTATACAGGAAAGTAATTATTATCATCTTCTTCATTATTCAGAAATGTTGGATTTTAATATTGTTAATCAGAATCTGTATCTGAAAAGTCTTAATCCTATTCTTCATTATAATTCTATTTTTAAATATTAGGTTAATGAATTTCTTAATCTCTCTTCTTTTTAATTTACCTTTTTATTCTAAGTTATTTTGGTTATTTTAATTATTTTTAATTTATTCTTGTTCTTTAATTTGATTGTTTTTTTGACTTAATTTACTATTATCTTCCTTAATTATAATCATAATCATCATAATCATAATAATTACTGTAATCATAATCATAATCAGAATCACTATCATATAAAACTTATTATATAGCATCATCATAATCATATTCATCATAATTATTTGCTTAAGAGTGATTATTTTTTCTATTAATTTTTTATTTAATTTCTTATTATTAATTTTAACATTATTGCTTTATTTACAATAATTATTTTAGATTAGAAGTTAGTTATTCTTTATCATAAACAGTAGCTTTTGATGATTGTGATAATATTTATTACATTTTTTATTTTGTTGCTTAAATACAAACATCAATTTCAGTTAATAGATCTAATTTCTCTTTTTTAGATTGCTTTACATTCATTTATTACATTAACTTCATAATTTTTGCTAGATCTATCTCAAATTTAGCTTAAAATTCTTGTTTAGCAGGCATCTCAATTTCCATTAATGATTATTAATGCAATAGCTATTGTTTTGTATTTTTAACAATTTTCTCTACTTCCAACAATCCATTTAAATCATCTCCCAATTAATTATTTAATTCAATAGCTTCTTTCCACTAAATGGTATCAGAGATCATTATATTTATGTCATCTAGGTCTTGGCATCTCAAATTTTGCATATTCAAACTAACTGCTTATTGAAGTGTTAGCTCTAAATAATTTATAGCTTTTACTTGAACTTGCAAAAGTGAGCAAACTCACAATGACTATTGTTACGTATGCGTTTTTCATAATATTAATAGGGAACTATTAAAAGAATTTAATCAATAAAATAAACTAACTCCTATTGTAACATATTTGGATCTAGAAAATATATGTAAATGAATCTCTCAAGAATTTTTGATTACTTTATCAATTAATAATACTAATTATGATACCAAGATCATATTAAACAATGAAAATATAATAAGTTATCATTTAATAGAGATTTGCATAGAAATTTTTAACTAGTTTTATATAATGGATTATTATATTAAATAAAATTAATAGAACATTAAAGGTTTTGTTTAGTCAAGTTGTAATTTTGACATATGATTAATATAGAATTAGGCTTAAGTAATAAACAGTAACTTAATTAATAAAATGTATAATTTTAGTTGAATAATTAACAGAAATCTCTTTTTTTGATTAATTAAAATAGATTGAAGAAAATTATTTATAAACCTTGTGATTTCATATATATAAGAATTGATAACTTCTCTAGAAATAAAAACTTCATTATATATATATATTGAGTATAATAAATATACAAGACACTTCAATATAATTTGATTAATTTTTTAATGAACAACAATAGTAACACTAAATTGGATATTCTTCCAAAACTTATGACTTCTCACCATAAACTTCTTGAGCCAGCTTATTTAAAGAATACTCAATTCAAAATGAGCCAAAATGAGAGTAAATTGTTACCTGTCATTCAGAGGAGTTCCATGATGTAGCCTAACTCAAGTTCAAAATAATTAATCGTATAGAGTAAATAGAAATTTAATCTTAGGGTTGATAGGCAATTTAGAATTTAGTTCTAGACATTTTGGAGCTGCCTGCGATAGAGGTTTTTAGGGGTTATCTAAATATCACTATTCTCAAAAATTTGGTCATTCTGCTGTTAGATTGGAGCCACTTAATAGAAATATTATAGCAGAACTCACTGATGCAGAGGATATTGATGAAATTCCAAAGGATGAAAGGACCTATTATAAAAGAATATATAAATTTAAGAACATGCCAATTTTAGCATTAATTAAGTCTTTTGAAATAGAATGGGTAAGAGAGTTTGAAGATGAAGTAAATAAGAAATCAACTAAATCATTGCAATTAAGTTTTTAAACTGCTCTTGCAATATTTAATACATTTCCTGATCCATTAGAATTTTTCTAAAAAAATCTTTAATTGCTTGAAAGAAGTTCTGTTGCTTTAAAATAAAAAGGATTGACTTAATTAAAGTATAAAGTAAAGAATTTTGAAGAGGAAGAATTTTAGAGAATGATAGTAGTAAAAAATTAATCAGGATAAGGATACTTTCGAATATATTTTCCAACAATTTAACTTTATTTATAAGAATACTCTCATAATTAAACTATTGATTTGTCACCTCTTAGATTATATGAAATTGTAAAAAATAACTTTTTTGAAATGGCCTCAATAGTGGAATAATTTGATTTAGAGAAATTTAAAATATATATATAAGATTCAGAAAACAAGGGAATATTAGAACAATTAGATGATCAAACGAAAAAAAGTGATGAAAATATTTTAAAGCCTGAATAAAAAAGTAATGAAAATATTTTAAAGCCTGAATAACCAGAGTCATAGGAAATAGAATAATAATCCTAAAAATAAATTAATGATCAGGGATAAAGTGTAGATTAATAATAGAATACTGAATAATAATAATAATAAGAATAAAAAGAATAATAATAATAATAATAATAATAATAATAATAATAATAATAATAAGAATAAAAAGAATAATAATTATAATAATAAGAATCAACATAATAATAATAATAAGAATCAACACAATAATAATAATAGGAATCAACATAATAATAATAAGAATCAACATAATAATAATAAGAGACACCAAAATAATAATAATAAGAGACACCAAAATAATAATAATAAGAAACACCAAAATAATAAGAATAAGTTTTAATTACTAAACCTGTGAATACCGATATTACCATTATAATTATTGAAGGTATTATTTATTTTAAAAAAAGAAAAACATGAATTTCCAGAATAGATTCTATAAAAGAAATGGATTAAGAAGGTTGTTCCAAAAGATAATATATATTATACAGTTGATTTTTTACCTTTTTAAATTCTAATTAGAGAGAAAAGATCATAAAAAATAATCAAAATGTATTCTCCATCTTTAAAAGAATTGGATTTTATATTATTCCAATTAAATCATAAAAACTTACTTCAAATATTAGAAGATCATGTAAAGACAACATTTGATATGCCCCCAGAAGCATTTGATTATAAAGATTTTAAAAAAGGAACTAAAATAACATTCCTTTTGGATGAGATAACAGAAAAACCTCTAGAGATTACTGAAGAATAACTAAATAATGGTTTATTAAGTTCATAGACAAAAGAGATTGAAGTGAATAATAAAGATTTACAAATAATAATAGAGTAAAATAATTGAATAAATTTAGACCTTGTATGCTTGAAATCTATAATTAACTTAAATGTAGTACAATTAAAAGACCATGTACTTCAAAAGAACTAACACATATTCTAGAGAAAAGATATTCAATTGGTTATAGATTGATATGAAGTTTATTAAAATTTTTATTAATTCAGACATGTTTATCACATTCACATTGACATACAAACTTGTTAATATATAACTCCTTAGTTTAATGTTATTGATGACAATCTTAAGAGCATAAACGGCATAATGTTTTCTTGCAAGTCTTACAACTATGATTTTTAAATAATAATAAATTACTTGAATTGTATTTAATTTTTATTTCGATCTCTATTTGGAATTGATTGTGTACATGTTCCTAATAAATGACAATAACATCGATGATCATTTGAATTAAAAGATTCAATAAATGTATGATTTTTTCTAATTTCATTTAGATTAATTTAACTCTATACTAGAGAATCAGATCCATGAGTTATTGTTTCATTATAATTAAATGTATTTTCACATTTAGAATGACATTATGTTACACATGTGCTACATATTTAAAATAAATGATTAAGGAAGAAAGAATGAATTTTTGAACATTTGATACAATAATACATTTTACTTAATTTAATTTATTTACCTTAATTACATTTAGTGATACCATAATCTTATAATTTTTATAATCCATTATTATGCATAATTATAGTTAATGCAGTATTAGTTCCATAAAATTATAATGTAAATTATGATAAGAATAAATATTTCTTTTAAAGTTATTTTATTTTTTCTTTTTCAAATATTCTATCAAAACTTAAAACAATAAATTTGAGAAGAGTGAGTTATTCAAATTGATTAAAAAGTTTCTCAAAAAAATCATAATTAATATTATTACCAATTAAAGATAATTAGAGTCTTTCTAAATTTTTTAATTTTCCAATATTATTTTTAAGTTTCTCTTAAACCATTTTATCATAATTAGTTATATAATCCATAATCAATACAAGATCTTTTAGACTTTATTTTGAACCTAAATACTCTAAAAATAAACTAACTTCTGAATTTTTAGATTATAATTTAGTTAAATTAAATTAAAACTTTTTTAAATCAACAGTTCTTAAAGATGCTACTAATAAAGAAAAAGCTTATTATAATCCACAATCTTCATAATCTAAACTAAGTTCTTCTAAGGATGATTAATTAAATGACCAAAGTTATGATGTTTATGTATAATTTAATTTAATTCTTGGTATTTTAAATTCAAAAGATATACAATTATATTTACTTAATTTCCACATAATTGTTCTATGATCTTATTCAGACATCTCTGTTCCTATTGTCATACTTATTTTAGGTATGTGTTATACTTTAGTTAAGAATTAGATTATATTATTTACTTAAGAACTTTTATTATAAACTAAAATATCTAATTGTGTTATGCAAGGAAATTACATATTACTTAAATTATCTGACCATTTATAATTAGTATTATGATTTGAATCTTCTATTAATTCCAGAATGAGAATTTGAATATCATTTTAAGGTGATAATATTAATTCAGGTGTTTAATTATTTAATTTTAATAAAAGGGTTTTACATTTGTTAGGTAATTAACATTTAGTTTAATGATGATTTTGGTTATTTTAATATAAACTAATGTAACTATGAAATTAATAAAGTACAGCAACTTCACTGTAACTACAATTAAGTAAGTCATCTGTAGGTTTAAAGTCTTCAGGACCCATCATTTAGATTGAAGGCATTGTCTAAGAAAAACTTTCTGGATGAATTCTTTTAGATTCTACTACTGAATGATAAAATTTAGATTATTGCCATTATTATCTATGTTATAAATTTGATGAACTATGACTAGGTGATGATGGAGTTTTAATTGATCTAGCCTTAGTTGATTAAGGAAGTTTTAATGGATTACCAGATGGTGGTTTATTACTAAATTAAGTTTCCTTTGTTTATATATTAGATGGTGAAGATCTATTTGGAGATCTTGATGCTTATCTTTTTTTATTAGTATCAACTAATAAATTTGTAGATGATTTCTATTTTTTTTGATTGCTTAGATTGAGTTAAATTTATTTAGCAGATTTCTATCTTTCCTATTAATAATAGTTTGATCCTGTGTTACGACCTCTATTTGATATAACATCAGGAGAAAGATAATCAAATTATGTAATAGCCTTTTTTGGAGATTCAAATGATTCTATTGTTGTACCTTTTGATAATACTAATTATTATTAGAATTGATTTTCTTTCAATTATTAGAAAATAGTTTTTAATTCAATAAAATCAGGACGATCATTTGGATTAATCTACAACATTTTCTTTAAAATAGTTAAAATAATTTAATCTGATTCAGTAATACGTTTAACATGTCTCATATAATCTGTTATTATTTCTTCTTCAATTTATGAATTAATCTTCTATCTAAAATTCCAATATTGAAGTGTCACTAAATATAAAAAACATAAACCTAGTGAATAAACATCACTTTTAAATGGATTATGTTTAAGTTTAGATGTTTCTGCATTCAATAATTCTGGAGCTAAATATGATTTAGTACCCACCACACTAATAGTCTATATTGTTTCAATCTATGTACTACATCCTACATCACATGCTTTTATTTAAAATGGCTCCATTATCAATAAGTTTTCTAATTTTATATCTCTATGAGCAATATTCTTTTGTTACAAATGTTCAAAAATGTTTATAAGATATTCTAAAATTTTATGCAATTCCTCTATGTCTAAGAAATGCTTTCTATTTTTAATATAGGAATCCAAATTTTGTTATCCTTTTTCCATTAGTAAATATGCAAATTATTAGCTTTAAGCATATTTATCTGCTGAAACAGTTTCTAGTATCATGAAATCAATCAAATTAATCACATATTCTGAAGGAGACAATTATTACATGATTTTGATTTCATTTTCAATGTTACACTAATTGATTATGACTTACTTAATACAAGAAATCTCTTACCTTAAGGGCATACTTCTTTCCATTTACCAAGACACTATACACTCTGCTATTACCTTATCCTAAATGTCCATTATCAACTAAATTCTTACGAAAGTCATTTCCTTTAATAAATTTCATCTAGCTTAATTGGAGAGCCAGATCCATTTTAATTAATAAATAAATTAATTATATATTTATTAGTATCATATGAATATTCTACTGTATTTGATCTATAACTTCAAATTTTGAATTATTGAAAATCTAAAATACAAAACTAGAATTCTAAAAAAATACATGAAAAATAAAATAATATACAATGATAAATGTAAAATAGAAGAAAAAAATATAGTAAAAAAGTAATATAATTCATTTCTAATGTAAATTTTATAGAAAAACAATATTTATTATAAATTTATATAATATATATATGTATTATTTCTTTATTTGGAAACAACTGTGAAAAATTTGTTATTATTCATTTTTATTCCTACATAAGTAATTAAATTATATAATTATTAAGATAAAATGCAAATTTAATTTATATAACTACTTAAATCTTTTATTCTATGAACTATTTAAACTCAAATATTTTTTTTAATAATTCTGGATTATATTGTCTCATTAAAAAATAGATAACTTAAAAATAAATTATAAAAATCCTTATAAAAACACATTAACATACTTTAACTAAAAATAAAAAAAAGATTATACTCAAAAATTTAATTATAATAAGGAGAAATATTCGCTTTTAAGGAAAAAATACTTAATTTTAATTGCATTATTATAAGATTTATTTAAATAATAAGGATTTAGGTATATGTAATATTTTTCAATAGTTTTTCAGCCTATTAAAACTTTTATATATATACATTAAAATCATTAGATTTCTTTTAAGGAAGGTATTTTAATAAATATAAGAGCATTTAAAATTTGGTTGTAAAATTGAGATAATTTATAATAAATAAAAATTAATGTAATAAGAAGACTCTGAATATATTCCAGTTGAATTATTAGTTAATACTAAGAATGAAGCTTCAATTAGATTGGTCTATAAACCATAATAATTAAGTACGGGAGCTAAAAAAGTTAAAATGGTTTACGAAATTCTACTCAAAAATATTTATGAAATAGAGAATCCAACTAAAGAAGGTGTTATAGAGAAGATATTTTCTGATCATCCTTTTCTTAAAAGAAGTGATAAAATGGTTGAGAATGTAAGATATCATCTAATAAATTAGATGAAAGAAGCTGTAAAAAATATATTCGAAGAAAGGGCTGAGAAAAAAAAGGCTGAGAAAGAAAGGTCTGAGATAACAGGTAAAAATAACTATTTAATATATATTAGAGATTCAAGAAGATAAGGAAGGTTCGGCTGCTAAAATTCCAACTATAAAAAATAAATGAATAAAATTATTGTATTATTAAATTAACAAGTATTAATATAACAATATTGATGAAAAGTAATAATAGAATAATGATGAATAATATTTTATATTTAATATTTTTATAAGTTNTATATGTATTATTTCTTTATTTGGAAACAACTGTGAAAAATTTGTTATTATTCATTTTTATTCCTACATAAGTAATTAAATTATATAATTATTAAGATAAAATGCAAATTTAATTTATATAACTACTTAAATCTTTTATTCTATGAACTATTTAAACTCAAATATTTTTTTTAATAATTCTGGATTATATTGTCTCATTAAAAAATAGATAACTTAAAAATAAATTATAAAAATCCTTATAAAAACACATTAACATACTTTAACTAAAAATAAAAAAAAGATTATACTCAAAAATTTAATTATAATAAGGAGAAATATTCGCTTTTAAGGAAAAAATACTTAATTTTAATTGCATTATTATAAGATTTATTTAAATAATAAGGATTTAGGTATATGTAATATTTTTCAATAGTTTTTCAGCCTATTAAAACTTTTATATATATACATTAAAATCATTAGATTTCTTTTAAGGAAGGTATTTTAATAAATATAAGAGCATTTAAAATTTGGTTGTAAAATTGAGATAATTTATAATAAATAAAAATTAATGTAATAAGAAGACTCTGAATATATTCCAGTTGAATTATTAGTTAATACTAAGAATGAAGCTTCAATTAGATTGGTCTATAAACCATAATAATTAAGTACGGGAGCTAAAAAAGTTAAAATGGTTTACGAAATTCTACTCAAAAATATTTATGAAATAGAGAATCCAACTAAAGAAGGTGTTATAGAGAAGATATTTTCTGATCATCCTTTTCTTAAAAGAAGTGATAAAATGGTTGAGAATGTAAGATATCATCTAATAAATTAGATGAAAGAAGCTGTAAAAAATATATTCGAAGAAAGGGCTGAGAAAAAAAAGGCTGAGAAAGAAAGGTCTGAGATAACAGGTAAAAATAACTATTTAATATATATTAGAGATTCAAGAAGATAAGGAAGGTTCGGCTGCTAAAATTCCAACTATAAAAAATAAATGAATAAAATTATTGTATTATTAAATTAACAAGTATTAATATAACAATATTGATGAAAAGTAATAATAGAATAATGATGAATAATATTTTATATTTAATATTTTTATAAGTTTATTATTCCTTACATAAATATGAATATTGAAATTCATTTATAGAAATTATATTATAATACTGAGGAATATATATATTTATTTATTCAATTAATTTGATTATACTATTTATTTTAATAATATTTATTAAGATAATATGGGATGCTTATTAAGTGTATTTACTCGTTAATAACTTGATAAAAGAAGAGTTGCATTACTTTAAAAGTTGTTCTTATTATTATAATAAAAGCGCTGATGAAGTTGAAGATATAAGAGAGAAAATTACTAGTTATAGTATATAAAATTAGTACATTAATTAAGAAAGAGTAATAGATGAAAAACCACATAAAGATTTTACAAAAGTAATGAATCATATAGAAATTAAAGATAAAATGTTTGACTAAAAATGATGAATCTAAGATATATTTATCATAAAACAAATCCAATTCTGAATATTATATTTTGAAATCCATCAATAAATAATATTTAGAGTACTCAGGAATGTAATAATAAATTTAAAATGAAATAAAATTTGGTAAAGAATGCAATGGAAAATTTATCTAATAATATCATCAACATTTTATCACCAATAAAAAGTGTTATATAATTTTAGAAAATGTATAAGGTGGCAATTTAAAATAATTAATTAAAAGAAAATAAATGAATGAAGCTGAAATTAGATTTTACATAGCTGAAATATTGATTGCACTTTAACATCTTCATAAAAATAATATCATTTATAGAAATTTGACTCCCTATAATGTTTTAATAGATAATTAAGGTCATATTAAATTATCTGATTTTTCCTTATGTCATTTTGGTACTGAATGTAATTTACTCACTGGGAATATTTATTACCAAGCACCAGAAATTAGTAAAATACAATATTAAAATTAATTATCTGATTATTGGAGTTTAGGAGCTATTATGTATGAAATGTATTTTGGATACCCTCCTTTTTTCCATCCTAATATAAATATATATAAAAAAAACAAAAGAGAATAAATTATTATTATACCAAATTCTATTTCAGAATCAGCTTAATAATTACTTAGGCAATTATTAAACAATGATGTATTTCATATTTATTATTACAGATTTAACAAAGAATAATCAATAAATCAATTAAGAAAATCTAATATCATCCATTTTTTGATGGATTGGATTGGTAGATGGTCTAGAAAAGATTAGAATAAAGTCCATTTGTTCCAGATATCAGATCAAAATCAGATCTTCATTATTATTTGTAAGAATAACAAAATGAAAATAAAATTGAACAATAAATTAATTGAAATAAGAAATATAATAGTAGATATCTTCTATTCATATAATAAATTTAATTATCGAATAATTTTTATAATCATTTTCTCTAAATAACATATTCTAATGATACTATTCTTACTCTTTTGTCCTAACTACCAGTTATTATTAATTTCTCTATATTGATTAACAACAATACAACTAATTTATTCAGTATGAATTATGATGCTTTTAACAAGAATAGCTTAATCTTTTATTTCCCATACTCTTAAAGTCTTATCTAATCCTGCACTAAATAAATATTTATGAAATCCTAAACAAGTAATTGTTTCATTATAAAATTATAATTTATGAGCTTTAAAACCAGTAGTTATATCTAAATGACCTTAAACAACTGTATTTAAATGTTTTTATTAACTAATAAAAATTTCAAAATGTAGCCCATTTAATTAAGGAGTTTCTTTTGGAACTGTTCTTTAGTAAAATAATTTATTACTTTGGTACAAAATCTGAACTTTAAGGAACTTTATATTCTTTTCCTAAAAGATCAGAATGTAAATATGGTTAAATGGTTGATTAATAAAAATCTATATTCTTTTATTAATTTTTTAGATTAACTTTGAGAATTGTTAAAGAATCATATTCAGGTTCATCCATTACAACTGGTTTTTATTCAATTTTTAATATTTTACTTACAAAGAAAACTTTTTTAATCACAAATGAAATAGCCTTTTCAAAATTTTAATTAATTAAGATATCACTACTAATAAATGATCTATTTAATTCTTCTGCTTATTTAGTAAGAGTAGATACAATAACTTACAATAATTTCTCTTATAAATCTAATAAAAAATCAAATTTCCTAGAATCATTCTCAATTAATAATTGAATTAAGTTTATTAATATGTTTTTCACAATTTTAGTATGTTTTCATTATAAAATTATTCAATTTAAAGAATAATAGTCTTAATAAAAGCTATTTAATAAACGTATATATATACAATCTAATTTATCTATAAAGTAGTTGACAATATGTTTTTATAATCTTTTACATTCTGATTTTAATATTTCTCTAGTTTATATTAAATGATTCAATAACATTGATATTCTTTATCTAACAATACTCAAATCCTCTTTTCTTAGAATGTATATCAATACTGGCTATAGTTTTTGGTACAGAATAATTAGAAGAATCAAAATCTCTTAATGGTAGGATTGCAACTAAATGATTTTTAGGATGAGTGACTATGCAATCTGAACATAAGGTTTTGTGTTGGCATCCTTTTTTAGTGCATACCATAGTTGACATCTTGTCATGATTAAAGCAACGAATCAATATAATTATAATAATAAAGAAAATAAGAAATGAGTAAGTATAGTATATTAAATATTAGGGGATCATTTACAGGAAAGTTTATGTACAAATTACAATAATTGATGAGTCTATATTTGGACTTAATGACAACAGCACCAAAGGTGGAATTGACAGAAAATTTATTCAGAGCTACCATAATATTTTAATTTATGTTCCGACTTCACTATTTATTACCAGAAGATGGATGGGGAATATGGAATTATGAAGATTTTAAGATCAAAATACCTTAATAAATATTATCAACGATCTTTTAGCAAAATGCAATTTTATTAAAAGTAATTCTCATCATTTTAAATGGTTGTTGTTTATTGATGAGTTTTATGAGAATTAAATTGATGTATTACTATAACAATGTAACGTGGCATATCTTCTTTATGCCTTAGGTTTCAATATTGATAGATTTTGAATTAGATCCAACACTTTCAACAATAGCAATTTTTTTATTATTAGTTCAATCTTTCATAAATTTATACTTTAATAGAGCAACTAAATTCTTACATAATAATCCATTTATAAGAAAATATACAAACCTTACTATTGTATCTATTGCTATTGATACTCTATGTTATATGAACTTTTAATTTTATTTAATAAGATTGATATTACTTCATTTTTCAACAATAGTATAAATAGTTGATGTTTATTCATTTCATCCCTATAAACCTAAACTTAATTCATTTGTATTTTAATGTGCAATATTACAATATACTCTAATATTCATAACAACTATATCTATAATTTAGAAATCAGAAAATAATTTATTTTATTCATATTTTCTATTTGGTTCATTTTCAGTAGCCTTATCATAAATATTAATAGAAAAATGTTCTAAAAAGTAGACGTTTGATTAATATTTTATTTTAGTTTAAAGTTAATCATTATATCTTGCATCAAATATTTAAAAGGCAATTATGATTAGTCAACATAGATAAATTTGTAAATTTAAGCATGAAAATAATGTAATTGAAACAATAATTTGTATACTTGAAAATTCAATCAAAAAGAATAAATAAATCAAATTAGATTATGAAATATTAGAATTGGCATTGATTAATTTCTTATCTTTATAAAAAGCTGCATTAACAGCTTTCTGTAGATTGAAGATGTATTATAATGCAATAGATGATCATACTATATATTTTTAAATATGCTTTCCAAATATTGATAAGAAATTATGGAAGAGAGTTAGAGATGTTTAAAATAGAATTACTAAATAGATCAGATCAACTTCATATTATGATGAAAAGGATCTTAAAACTAAAGATATTTATGTTGCATCTTTGATGAAGGATTAATTTTATCCAAAAATAATAGAAGTCTTAAATAGAAAGCTTGAATATTGGAATTAATTATTATCAGATCTTGCCAATTATGAAAGACTATTTGAACATACAATAAAATGTAGTTAAGTAGTACATAATTTCAATATCTTTCTCTAAAATCTATTCTCTTAAGATTTAGATGAAATTTAAAATGTTAAGACAGTTATTGAATTAAAAATGTTAGAAATTTACTTTTGTGTTGTCAGAAATGATTAAGTATAAGCAACAAAAATGTAGAAACTTATTATAGAAATGTTGAGGTAAGAAACTTAACAAGATGGTAAGTTATTAAATTGTAGCATAATGGAAAACAAAGTAGTATTATTATACACTAGTATTGTTAAAGCATAAGGATTTATAATTAAAACTAATAGTGATTAATTAGCAAAATTTTGGGGATATGAAAGTGAATTAGATTTCCATGATATTAAACATATTAATCAATTGATGCCAAATTTTTGTGCATCTGTACATGATTAATATATTGAGAGATTTTAAATGTTAGGTCATAGTATTCTATTTGGAAAATGTAGAACTATCTTTCTTAAAGATAAATATGATTTACTCATACCAGCTAGTATTACTATTGATAATTTCTTTATCAGTTATGATGATTATGTTATCACTGCAGCATTTGCTAAAAATAAAGAGACATCTTTATATATTTTATTTGATTGCAAAGGTAAAATACTTGGTGTCACTTAATTGATGTATAAAGTATTTCATACAATTGATTCTACAGTCACTCCAGAATTATTAAATACTGGATATATATTTCAGATTATACCTAATATATTCTATTTAGTTAATAATCATACAAATGCAGAATTTGATAACATTCTATATGAAGAAAGAATTCATTTAATTATTGGAAATCCAATTAAATAGTAATTTGAAAAACCAATTAATTTATCCAAACATAAAGGATATTATGATGATTTATGGACTCTTTATGAAGATACAAAAAATCATAAAACAGAGATGTTTCTTTAAGATTATTAAGATTCTTGTAAATAATTCATAGATCATTAATTAAAAACTGTAGATTTTGAAATTATATGCCAACTTCATTATTAAATTATTGGACATTATAAAACAATGCCTATGTTTACATTAGAAATTTTAGATATTATCAAAGCAGATTAATAATCAAGTTAAATCTATTCATCTGATATTGAAATAAAAACTAATGATATATTTGAACCAGATCCAGTTGACTTAAGTTCTATTTAAGAAGAAAGCTTTCAAAAAGTAAAGAATAATGATTTACCCTAATTTGATAATTAATTATAATAAGTTCCTGATATTTCTTTCATTAAAGGAAGATTTGAATAATAATTAAATGAATAGACTCCAAAAAATAATAAATAGAAATAATCTATTATGTAACCTTAATCTTAGAAAGCTACTTTTTAAGTTATCAAATAAAAGAGTTTAAATGATGATCTAAAAAGTATTGAAGAAGAAATGAAAATTATTAAGGCTAATAAAAGATATAGTTAAAGGCAAATTATATTAAATGAGAAATAAAAAGAGGAACATAAAAGTTCTGAAAAATTAACTAAAAGAAAAAATATAATTGATTAAATCTAAGAAAAACGTAAGTAAGATATAAATGAAATGGATGCTGTTAATTCTGTTAATTCTATTGCTTCTAATTTAATTAACTATAAATAAGATCTAGTAAAAAGTGTATATAAATCTAATAAAATTCCTTACTCACTTAAAATGATCATAATTTTTGATCTTATGATCATATCTTCAATATTATTCTTTAATATATTTCCAATCATTACAATTCATAATAATAATATCCATGCTATTGAATAAATTGATGCTATTATGGCTCCATATCTATATAATTCATATTATTGTTAATTATATGTACACAATATGATTTTTGAATTGCAAAAACTTTCAATTGTGAATTATAGTCAAGAATTAATTCATGATATAGAATCTATAAATTAAAATAATACACTTCTTCAAGATCTAAAAAAATATTATCCAGTCTTTTTAGAAATTGAGAAACTAGATTATTTTCCAAAATTAAATATTAATTTCATAAATACTGCAGATTAATTGAATGTTTCATTCACATATATGTATAGTGTCTTAATTGAAAAATTATAATATTTTACATAAAAAGGATAGAACTTTGCTAAATATTAGATGAATGAATCAGAAATTATTTCTTCTCTATATTTGTATGCTAATTTATAAGAAAGTATATCACTATATTCAGATTTAATATAATTAATTGTACTTACATTTTTTGAAGATATGGTTTATGATGAAAATACATTCCTTAAATATCTAATTGTTGCTCTATTTGTTATAATCTTTTTATTTTGGATATAGATCATATATTTTCATTAAATATTTAATTATTTTAAAAAGATCATATACTTAAATTGTAGATTATTAGAAAAAGATGTTCATCTCATAGTTTAAAGATTGTAATTAATAAGAGAAATCTTAATTGAACATACAGTAACAAATTGGAAAAAAGCTGATTATGTTCATTTAATGTTCCAATAAATTAAATCTGATCAAATTCAAATTCAATCCAAAATCAATAAACATACTCTTCTCTGTTCTAGAATTGCACAAAGTAAATTTTCTTTATTGTCTATTCTTATTATGATTGTATCTGTTCAATCACTTCTAATAGGTTTCTGTATTGGTGGATACTTCTTCAATGAGATATAATAAATTGAATTAACTCCCTAATATGAATTGATGTCATAATTCTTTCAATTTTCAGTCACTATGGATTCTATGGTTACTTAATCTATTAGAGTTAAATGTCAAAGACTCTATATGTAAAATAATAAAATTAATGAATCAATAACAGTTTAAAAAACTTTAGTTAATTCAAAACTCTTAGCTATTAGAACTACAAATTTAACTTTTTATTCTATTTTATATCAAGATTTTGTTAAATCAGAAGAACTTATTCTTAAAGGATTGATTAATGATTAAACTGTTGATAGATAAAATAATTCTACACTATATCAACTCTTCTTTAATGATCTCTGTCCTATAATATGTCCAAATTCTACTGATGAAAGAGATATGAATAAATATTATGTAAGTGAAGGAATATCTGGTATATATGCAAGTCTAAGTAAATTTATTAAGAGTTCATTTAATTATGAACTAGAAAATTTAAAATAAGATCCAGATATCAAAGCTTAAATAAGTGTAGTAAATTCTCATGAATTTATTGTATTATTTTCAAGGCATTTTATAAATACTAAAAAAGCATTTAGAAAATTTTAAGAATAAATACTTAATAAAACTTATAAAGTAATTGAAAAAAATGATTAAGAAATCTAAGCATATTTTTCATGTGCTTTATTAATTGAAATAATAATAGCAGGAATTACATTTATATATTGTATTAAAATGAAACAATATCAAATATAATTAATGAGATTGTCTTTATGCAGTATTCCAATAGATTTATTAGATCAACAATCAATAAGTATTCTTAAAACATTATGATGAATAATATTTTATTATTTTTAGTATAATTATAATATCCTAAAAATTATTGATAATTATTTAATATGAAAATAATAAGATATCAATAATAATATAATCATCTCTGTATAAGAATGATTGTATTATTATAGAAATAAACTATTTTGATAAAATAACTAAATAATTGAAATAAAAATTCTAAAGTATTTTAATATGATCAATAAGATTTCTTCAATTTCATTATTTTTGCTGCTTTTATTGTAGAAATGATAGTCACTACAATCATCAACATAATAGTTATTATAGAAAATATTATTATTTTACTTGAAATTACATTCATCTTTTCATTCCTATTAGTTTACAATTATAACAAATCTAATTGAGCAGACTATTATTTAATTTTAAACTTATACTTTTAAATGTTGTAAAGTATTATTGTATTATTTCACTTATTTCTCTATTTCTTTTAAATCTTCTATTGATGCTAATTCTGCTTGTATTCCTTACTCATACAAAAATTATATATTCATTTAATAATGAGCCAAATTATGAATGCATATTTATATCTAGGTTGTTTCATTAAAAAGTTATGTAAACTTTTAAGTTAATTCATGATACGTGTAATATAATTACTTATTCACACCTGTATCAGTTATTTTCAAACTATAGTCAGCCGACTCTCCTTCAACAAAGCCTTGAATCATTTCCTTTTCCTATAGTCTATCACCAAAGCATCTTATTTATCTAGCTGGCAACTTGAATCTTAAATCTACAGCATTTGATAAACAAATGAGTAAAATTAACATAAAATAATATATTCTCAATAAAATTAAGTTCTAATAAAATCTAATAATTAAATTCATCATTAAATAAAAATCATTAGATAAACTTGATAAGTTTAATTTTAAGGTTCAAAAATAAACTAATAACTAAAAATTGTTTACTATTTTCTATTATATTAGATGACAAAATAAAAAAATCAAGGCAATTTTCAATTATACTTAAAGTCAGAAAAAAATAATAATTAAAATTTTATTTGACATTCATCTTAATAAATTAATTAATTGATGTTTGATAACTAGTTAATCATGATAAAGACCTGTCATTAATTGATTTAAGAAATATAAATAAATTTTTTCATATTTAATACAATTATGGATATGTAATTAATTTATGATATTTAATTAGATGATTAATTTAATTCTAAATAATTGTATCTTCCTTTAATTAAAGTTTATAAATATATTCATGAAAGCTAAGGGAAATATACACAACCTAAATTAGATAGTTTAGCAATTTATTAAGAAAGGATTATTAGTAGCCTAACCTTTATAATTATATCTAACTTTACAAATTTACTATATATAAATTAATAAATAAATATATAAAACTAAGATCTGTATTAGAATCTTAATGAATAATCTCAAGAGAATAAGGATACATTTTTATTTTGGTTAAGGATATAAACAATCATTAATAATTTTAATTTAATATGATTCCTTCACTTCCCTCTAGAGGTAAATAACTTTTAGAATCACCTTTTATCTGGTTAAAAGAAAAGGCAGAAATGGATAGAAAAAGAACTGGGTAATTAAAAAGATTATTTTAGGGTGCCATCAAATATGTGGTATGTCCAAGGGAAAATATATGATTTGTCTAAATTTTTAAAAGAGCATCCAGGAGGAGAATATTTTTTGAAATTCACTCAGGGATAAGATATAACAGAAATGTATTATGCTCATCACTTAAATTTGGATAAATGCTAAACTATTTTGAAAAAATATTATGTTAAAGAGGCAGACAAAGTATAACAGTATTTTAACTTCGATGAAAATGGGTTTTATCGTACACTTCATAAAAGGGTTGGTGATTATTTTAAAGTAAAGAATAAAGGACCATCATTTTCAATGAAATTAACAGTTATATCAGTTCTATTTGCCTTCTTTTGTACTTTTGCATTAACATGTCTATATCAAAGTTATTTATGGGCATTATTATGTGGATACACTCTATACGTTTGTTTTGGACTTGCTCACAACTTCATACATTAAGGCCCAAAATAACCATTAAGATACATGTCAGATTTACTTTTCTTTTCACATTACCATTGGAGTATCACTCATTGTATTTCACATCATCATTCCCCAAACAGCAACATAGATTTCGAGATGACTTCAATGGAACCCTTCTATATTTCAACGAAATCAAGGCTTCCAAATAACCGTTTTTTACCATATTATATAAACATATTTTTTGGATTTATTAGTACCCTACAATTTATTTCAACCATCATTTAAATAATAAAAGGTGAAGACAAACTTAGAAAAGAATATTTGATACCTGTTATAGAGTATTTGATCATATATTCCTTTTGTTGGGATGGATTTTTAGCTTTAAAGCTATTTATCACTATATAATTTTTTGCAAGCTTCCTCTCTCTTAAATATTCATTGATCATTCATCGAAACAGCATAAATTATTCTGATGGTAGTTCTATTTAACCATCGAATGATTATGGAATCTACAACATATAGACATCAACCGATCATGATTTATGGATTTAATTTCCATTAAATATGTTCATGTTTTAGAGTTTCAATCATCATATACTTCATCATTTGTTCCCTACTGTTGACGAATCTAGAATTCCAGAAATCCATCATATTTTAGAAGAGACACTTAAAGATTTTCATCTAGAACATATTTTAAAGAAATATACTGTATTTGAACTTTATAAGTCACATAATTAATTTGTTTTGGAGAAATGATGAGATTCATTTATAATATTAAAGATTTGATATTTGAAATCTTATTCATTATAATATCTTTTATTATTTTAAACTATTAATCTATCTATATAATCTTCTTAAATAGTAGTTTATTTTTTAACCTACTTTTTTACATAATCTTTTTGAGTAAATTCAAGATTACTAGATTTTATTTATATTAATAAATTAATTTAATAAAAAAAACTTATTAAATATTGAATAATATCTAATTCTAATTTAAAAAATACATATTATTTTGTTATATGGTAATTATTAATAAATAAATAAGATTATAAAAATTAACTGAATAAATGATGAGTTATCATAAAAATATATATTGATTAAAAGATATTTATTTCAAAATAATTTCTTTTAATAATGGTTCTAGTATTGATAACTTTTATTGCCTAATTTAGTAAATTCTTATTATAAAGAACTTGGAACATTTAACTTAATTCCTTCAGCAAAATCATAGCTGATTGATTCAGATTATAGGAATGATGAATTTTCATTTTATTTTGTATTTGGAAAAAAGTAATTGGTTCTTGATGAATTTTGAATATTATTGGATGTAATTTATTTAAATGGAGATGGACAAGGTTTAGTTTTTCTTTCTGGAGTAACATCTCTATATGTAAAATTATAGGGATCCCTTATACTTGAATTAATATTAGAAGTATCCATTTGAAAGTAACTATTTTAACTTATAGTTGAAATTTCAGTAGTTTCTTATTTATTCAAAATAATAGGAGAATGTGTTAGATGAGTAATTGGAGTTAATTAGGATATTTTACGAGAATGTGCTCGTTCTTAATTGTGTTTCAATGGAGTTGTTTATTAGTTTTCAGTAGCATATCTACGATCAATTTATGAAGAGTAATTTTCTTTACTTTGATCAATATGTAGTATATAATTAGATTATGGTTTTGGAGATGGTCTATTTTATATTTTGTATTTGAATTGCATTAATAAAGAGATAAGTTATTCTAAGGATGGTCTACTATCAATCAATTGTATACCTATGATAAATGTCTATTAATAGCATTTCTCTAACAATTTAGGCACTTTAGTACCTTTATTCAGCAATCCTTAAATACTCACACAACTTTTGTTGTTTGATAGCAAAATTAGGTAGATCGTAAATCTCTGGATAATCAAGCAACATACAATTCAAAAGGATTAAGCCAATAGAAAATATCTCATTCTTTTCATAACTTGAATTCTCTTAAGAACCTTTTTGTAATTCCTTTAATAATTCAGGAGATAAGTAACATTATTGAACAGAGTCTATATTTTGTAAAGCTTCTTAATATTCAGTCATTTTAGTAATAAACTTAATATCAGAAATGCAAAAGTTTTGGGATTTAGTATTTTGAATAATATGTTTAGGTTATAAATAACCATGCCGTATGGAGACAGATTTAAAAATTTGAAATCCTTATAGTATAATATCTAAAAGATTAATGATTTCAATTTCAGTAAAAGGGAGGTCTTTCTTTTTTCTATACTAGATATTGTCTTAAAGTGTGTGTGAATGAAATTCATATATCCATTAGATTCTATAGAAACTACCACATAATTCTTTGACTTCCTTTACTAGTTTAAATAATTGATATTACTATTATACGAAATTAAACGAAGTATTCTTTCTGAAATCAGATTAAGTCTTAAAGATGTTTCTTCCTACAATTTCTTAACATCTTCTTTTCTATGGAAAATCTTTGTGATTAGAACCAATTGAATATTATAGGTCTTATGAATCAAAATTTCTGCATCTCCATATAAAGTATTTGATATTTTCTTTAAGTAAACACAATTATCAATAATGGATTTAAAGTTTGAGTTTTTGAGTTCTTGAAACATTTATTCATTGATCATAAGTTAACGAATTATTAATATAAAAATTAATACAATCACAATAATTAAACTAACAGTCATAAAACATAAAATATAAGTGTTTTTTATTCAATTACATAAAGTTTACTAAATAATCAACAGTAATCTAAAACTTAATAAATTTCTTATTATTGATTATAGTAATGAGATATCTAGATATATATTAATTGTAATATATAATTAATGATAAATATAATACAAATATAGAAAGATAGATTATTATAATTAAATACTTAGAATAATTATTTCAAATTAATTATATATATATATATATATATATAAATTTATTAAATATGTATTATCAATCATAACCTCCAATGATGCCACTTGCACATATGATGAACAATCCAGTTTAAATGCAATAGGCAACCAACATAAGAAAACCTGATTTCCCACCTGATGTATGATATTATGATTATATTTAGATGCAACCCATTTTCGTAATTCCTTAAATTGCTCATATCAAATCTTAGCCAAAACCAAAATGCAGACCTTATGACCCAATATTAGGTTTAGGTAGAAAGGCTGAGTGGATGCTTGATAAATTTGAGGATGAATATGAGTAAATGTAAAGAGAAGAAAGAGAAAAGGGTAATTTTGTATTTATATTAATAAAGATATTGTTAAACCTTCGAGATTACCGATTAAAATAATAAAGAGATTAGAAAAGAAGCATCTTCACAATGAGGAATTAAAGAAGCTACTTTAATTATGGAATCCATTTGAAGATCCTAATATCATATCTGAACCTTATAAAACATTATTTGTGGGCAGATTGAATTATGCAACAACTGATAAAAAATTACGTAAAGAATTTGAAGAATATGGACCAATCAAATCAATAAGAATCATACGTGATTCTACATAAGATAAGCCTAGAGGCTATGCATTCATTGGTAAGGGGGTGATCTTAAATTAAAAGAGTATGAGAGCAAGAACAGTGTTAAATAAGCATATAAATATGCAGTAGATAAACGTATTGATGGAAGAAAGTTAGTAGTTGACATCGAAAGAGGTAGAACAATTCTAAAATGGAGACCCCGTCGACTTGGTGGTGGTCTTGGAGAATTGAGAAGATCAAGAAGTGAAGAATTGTCTAAAAAACCTAAAGAAGAACATGTAGAAAAAGATGAAGAAGACAAAAGAAGAAAATCGAAAAAAGGTATATTTAATTTATATAATTTTTCTTAGAAGAAGTAAAACCAACTAAGAAACCTAGAGAGAGATCTAGATCTAAATCTGTTAAAAAGCATAAGAAGAGAGAGGAAAGTCCAATTAAAAAATAAAAAAGAAGAGAAAAATCAAAAAAAAGACATAAATGAGTTGATAATGAATTTAAACTTAATAAAAAATGTAAATTAATTAATAATTATTATTTATATTCAACTATAAATGATGATCTATACTCTTTATTATTAAATTAAATAATCAATTAGTTATATGCACATTATTAAAATTAATTTAAATTATAATATTTTCAATACATCATTATAAAATATAAATGATCTCAATTACAAAATTCACATCCACCTGGAGGTGCTTGATTTTCTTTTTCATAAATTTATGACCAAGATTCTTATATTGAATATCCTATTGTGCATCCTATAATAACAGCCACATTGACCCATCCATTCATTGTCATAATTAATTACATAACCATAATTCCTGAAAGTGCATAAATTAAATACCAACAGATATCAACAATCAAACTTTTAATATATAAAAGTGTCTTACTTTTTTGGTAAAATTAACTTAACAGTGTATAGATTCATATGTAGCATACAATAAAACATTACAATAAGACATCCAAAAAAAAACAATCCTGTTTCATCAGCAGTTGTGGACCATCTTATGCTTATTATTATCAATACCCTTTAAATACAAATTCACAGTTAACTCTAAAGTGAACAACCATACCATTATTGATAGCCATTTTTATATATTATATTAATTAAAATATATTCTTTTATTGAATTTAAAGTTATATGTCTTTTTATTATTATTATTATTATTATTATTATTATTATTATTATTATTAGATTTCATTCAATAACATATATAAGAATATGAGATATAATTATTTAATTAAATGAATATATTATTAATTACCTTATTGTAGATATTTCTTTATTATTATTAAAATAATATAATTAAACTTAATTGAATTCCATATCTAATGAACATCAACTTAAACAAAGTTTGATATATACTGTTTTTATATTTAGAATAATTATTATATTTTATCTAAATCAATAGATATAAATAAACATATCCTAAATAACATCATTATTCTTCAAAACCTTCTTCAAAGTTGTTATATATTTCTACTTATTCTCTTTTTGGCTTCAATTCTTCCTCATTACCTTCTAATTGTTTTTTAATCCATTCTCTTGTCTTTACAAAGCGTTCTGGAGGTTTAGGATCACTAATAAGTTTTCTGAAAGCTTTCTCTCTTCTCAATTTACCTCCATACTTTATAAATTCTTGAGTCCAATGCTTCAATGCTTATTCTATTTCAACTACACCAACAGGATCTTTCCACCAAGAAACAACTTTTGCTTTTCCATTCTCCTATACATAACTTAGAAAATCATAATAATTTATAAGCATTTTTAAAAGATCTTCCTGAAAATCAACTTTATGATCAATTAAGTCTTAGACTTGCTTTTATATTTGTATTTTAAGAAAGTTTGATTATTCAGAAAAATCCTTAACCATAAATGAAATTGATATGGAGAGGATTTCTAAGATTACTTCATCACATGTTTATAACGAGGGATTCTCTACAGAGAAATTATGAATTAAACTAAGTTTGTAATTGGTTTCTTAATTAATTAGAGTATCAATTTCTACTTAAGGGTCAATTATCTCTTCTTGAATCACAGGTGACGGAATTACTTTGATGTTTGAATTTGGGCAGAATCCTCCCATTTATTTATTTATTTTTTTATTATAAGATGAATTAAAACCATCAAATTCTTCCAAATTCACATGAATATTAATGGTCAAAGTAATACAATATAATTTCAGAAATAGAAATTTAAAGAATAAATAATTGCTTTCTAATTTATTTAATTTAGTACTTAATTACTTCTATAATAGTTTGAAATGATTCGTAATTATTGTATATAATTTATTTAATTTAGATAAAAGTATTTTACTATATGATCATTAGAAGGGATTCTAATTATAATTATTAATTAGTTTAAATCATTAAATTAATAATAGCGTTTTATAAATTCATCATATAATTATATTATAAAAAGAGATTATCCTAAGATTTAATAATGAGTGATAAATATTTTTATTAGAAATGATACAAATCTATTTATTATTATTATTATATTTATAAATTATCTAATTTGATGATGTATATTAATAAAATTAATATATTTAAGGTAAAATCAAATAGTCTATTTTGATTTCTTTTTTTCTATTTTTTAATTAAGTATTCATTAAAACGTATAGTTATTTTAAGTTTTAAGAAACTAATTTAATATTTGTTTTCATAAGAGCAACTATCTCTCTTTATCACATAATACTTTATTATCATCACTATTTAATTATCTTTGATTTATTATCTTGTTTAATTCATTCAAAAGTTAATCAAAATGATAATGACCTAATATAAATTAAATTTATTAAGAAATAAATATTTCAAATAAATATATTTATCTTAATAATAATATTTCCATGAAATAATTACAATTAAGAATATATATGATGAAAAGGAGCTCATATCCATATTTATAATTTCTCTATTGTTGATTATAATTTATTTAAAATTGTAATATGTGAGTTAATTTAATTCAGAATCCTTTAATATTTAATATTTTTAACTCCTAATAAATATTTAGATAATATTAATCAAAAACATATATGTAAAATTGAATAAATTGATTTTAAATTATTTTACTTATATAATTAAATATATATATATATATGAATATTTTGTAACTTTAGTCGTTTTAGTAAATTGGATTGTAGAGATGCTGCTGAGATTAGAATTTTTAGAGTGTAATTTAAAATGTTTATCATAAAAATTAACTTATATTTACTTTAATTTTACTTGATTTCGAGATTTATTTCTTAATGAATAATTAAAACTAAAAGTAATCCAAATCAGTTAATTCATTTTATTTTGTGGTTTTAGAAGATTTTTCTTTATAATTCTAAATGAGCTTTAATTGAAGCAATTTCAAATGATGCTATCTCTCAAGTTAAGCTAAAAAGAAACAAGATGGGTCAAAATAATATTAGTGTAATAATACTATATTTAAAATGATGTATTACAAATATTGATATAATGTAATTCACATTTTGGATATCATCATTTTTAGGAACAGTAATTTTTGTTAAAGATCATCTATGAGGACTATCTTACATTTTAATTCTTCTTAGGTATCAAGTAAATAATTGGTGATAGACTAATTATTTTACTCCTCCCCTATTTCTTATTTTGAAATGTCATTTTTATTCACTTTTTTTATTATTTTCTTCTTTTTAATGGGTTTCTATGAGATTTTAGGAGAGATAAGTTGATAAGAAACAGTACAAATGTTTTTTAATTCTTGACAAATGAACTCAATATTTTAATTTTCTGAATTTTTTGGTTCCAAATTTGTTTAAATTGCTTTAGAAGTAGGACTTGTTATTTACATGGCGACTTTCTAAATCAATGGAAAATTTAATAAATTTTATTAATATGTGTAAATATTAGTAAAATAGTATTCATTATCCGTTTGATCTATTTTAAAAAAAGGAATTCATTGAATAAAATGATGTGATATATTTTATATAATATAATTAATTTTAATTAATATAAAAATGACAGAAGAAATTTTAAGTCAATATTATCCTAAATATAATCCTTAAGCTGCAATATTAAAGGACATACTTAGAGATGGTTTAGAATAAGCATTTATTGGGAAATTTAAGAATAATAATGATTAAATCAATATTTCAGAATTTAAATTGAGACATCATTTTGATAAAAAAGATAATGATCTTTTTTTAGATTAAATTAAAAAGAAACTCAAACTTAATAATCAAAAAGCAGAAATGAGATGTGTTAATACTTTTCAAAATATAAGAGTTGAAACTGATTTAAATTATGATCCCAAATATTTCCAAGAAAATACATTCTATATGAATTAAAATTTAGATGCCATTAAATAAAAGATTATTGAAAAGAATATTGCAGAAAGAATTAAAAAAGCATAAGAATTTAAATCTATGTAAAAAGCACTCAACATTTGGTTTTAATAATCATAATAATAAAAGAATGAAGATTAAAATAAATAATAGTAATAAACTAATAAAAAATAAATGAATTCATCATCATAAATTATAATTAAATAACATTAAACTGAAGGAATTTAAGTCTCTGGCATCATTACATTTAAATTAGGATATAAAATGACATATCCTAATTTAGCTTATATTATCAAAGCAACAGATATTCCAGAAAGGGAATCTTAATGTTCTTTTGTTAAAAAAATCAGACCTTTATAATAATTAGATTTTGATTATTTAGATGATTTAAGAAGATATGTTTGGAAATATAAGCAATATATACAATTTTTCAAAATTCTACTCAAAGTAGCATAGGGAAATTTAGAAATTTCAGAAACTCTTGTAAAAACTTAACAGAGAATGAAAACAGGTTTCTATCATGTTATGACATTTTATCATATTTCAAATAGAAGTTGGTCAATTTGTAGATTAATTAAAGATTTAAATAAAAAGGGACTCTATTAAAGAGAAAGGTAGAATTTATATGAAGTAATAATACTTATTATATAAAAATAGACAATGTTGGAAAATATTCAAGAAGATCTTGAAGAAATATTCAGTCCATTATTATTTGAATCTGATTATGTTCCAATTGAAGAACAATTCATTTCATTTGAATAATATAAAAAGAGACTTCAAGAAGTTATTTTAATGAGAGAAAAGGGAGCTTGAATGAAAATTGATAGTATAATATTTATTTATAATTAAACTTAATGTTTCAATATTAAAATATAAATTATATGTTAATATACACAAGAATAATTAAAAATTTATAATAAATGCTTGATAAATATACAAGATGTATTATAAAATTTAATAATAATTTGATAGAAAAATAACTATCAAAAAAAATTAGGAAATATGTAAATTATAACTAATATTTTTGTAAATGGATAAATATAAAATTAAAATTCTAAGATTGTTTATTGATTTTCAATTTATATTAGGAATACTTAAATTAACTATTTGAAAGAGTACTATAAAATTATAATAGTGCTTGTAAATTTATAATGAAGAGTAATAAGGAGAATTTAAAGATTCAATTAATAAGAAATAACATAAATGTGTTAAATCTATTTATATCAAACAATTAACATTATTTCCTCTCTTCTTCTTCATCAACATTTTAACCTTATCTTAGAAAAAAAAGAAAAAGCTTACCAAAAAAGATATTTAAGAGATTTGGAAATGGATATAGTAGTTTATGTAGTAGAAATTCAATATAAAGGTAAGTATATAGAAAAGGACAAGGAACAATTAATAATGACGAGTAATAAATGAAAGATTATGTTTAATAATCTGGAATTTAAAAAAAAATGAATGATTTAAAATTTTACTTTTTTTGAAAAAGAAGATCAGATCATCTATAAATTAAACAAAAATATGGCTTATATGTTATATAAACGATTATGATAATCAATCTCTATCAAAGAGTCTGTCTAAAAAGCTCTTTTATTTCTATTATGGTTATTGGGTTGGTTGTGGGTTTTGTCTTGGATTTTAAGCCTATATTTAATTATATTCTTATACTTAAGTTCTGTCTAATGGTTATTGGGGTCTAGCTTATGGGACTGTTCTGGTTGGTACTTAGGTCTAGGCTAATGGAAGACTAGCAACTGGAGGAGGAACATAGGTTGTTTATTAAAGTGGAGCTGGGGCATATTAAACTGGTTGTTGAACATATTGGACTGGTTATGGAGCATATTAAACTGGTTGTTGAACATATTGGACTTATTATGGAGCATATTAGACTGGTTGAACGACTGATTGAGTAACAACTTATTAGACTGGTTAGGCAACAACTTATTAGACTTGTTGTTGATGAACAACTTATCTCTCAACTGGATAATACTCAACTCTTTCTTGATATCTATCTACAGGAACATATTCTGGAAATTTAAATTTTTAAATGTCATACCTGTAAATTTTTCTTAGAAGACTTATGGTACATATTCTGTTTGATATTCAACTGCGTAATAATCAGTAACATATTTCTCTCTTGGGACTTAGATTCTTTATCTTACTTCTTCATATTCAAGCACAGTTTTCTCATATGGAACATATTCAATTCTGCTCTCACCTTTGATTGTTGGTTAAGCAACAACAGATTGAGCAACAACTGGTTAAGCAACAACTTATTGAGCAATGACTGGTTGAGCAACAACTTGTTGAGGTACATAGGTTTAAGGGACAACCTATTAAACAACAGGAGGAGCATATGAATATCTCAATGGTGAAAGAGGAGCACCATATGGTTAAGCATAACTGGGTTAAGCATAAGTGGGTTATCCATAACTGGGTTATCCATAATATGGTTATGGTGCTTATGGTGCTTATTGGGGATGTTATGGTTGTGGGATATTGCTCATAAATATTTTATTTAAAAGCTGAGAGGGAAAAAAAGATATGAATTAGGCATTATAATTAATTAATATAAAATGAATTAGGATGAATAACCTAAAGAGTCTATAGAAAGAGAATCAGATGATAATGAAAAGAATGATAAGAAAGATCAAGTCTAACAACCAGAACAAAAGAAAAAGAAGAAGAAAAATAAAAAGAAAAAGAAATGGGGAGAAGAAGGTAATCTAAAATAAAAAATAATTAATAGAGGAAATACTTACAGATTTTGATGATGATTGGTAGAATAAAGTTAAATAATCTAAAATTTTGTAAGATCCAGATCTACCTTAACATATTAAAGAGAAGTATGCTATTTATGAAAATAATCCATTTATGATGATTATTTCAAATGTACCTCTTAATGTTTAATTAAAAGAATTGGAAGANGTTGTTTATTAAAGTGGAGCTGGGGCATATTAAACTGGTTGTTGAACATATTGGACTGGTTATGGAGCATATTAAACTGGTTGTTGAACATATTGGACTTATTATGGAGCATATTAGACTGGTTGAACGACTGATTGAGTAACAACTTATTAGACTGGTTAGGCAACAACTTATTAGACTTGTTGTTGATGAACAACTTATCTCTCAACTGGATAATACTCAACTCTTTCTTGATATCTATCTACAGGAACATATTCTGGAAATTTAAATTTTTAAATGTCATACCTGTAAATTTTTCTTAGAAGACTTATGGTACATATTCTGTTTGATATTCAACTGCGTAATAATCAGTAACATATTTCTCTCTTGGGACTTAGATTCTTTATCTTACTTCTTCATATTCAAGCACAGTTTTCTCATATGGAACATATTCAATTCTGCTCTCACCTTTGATTGTTGGTTAAGCAACAACAGATTGAGCAACAACTGGTTAAGCAACAACTTATTGAGCAATGACTGGTTGAGCAACAACTTGTTGAGGTACATAGGTTTAAGGGACAACCTATTAAACAACAGGAGGAGCATATGAATATCTCAATGGTGAAAGAGGAGCACCATATGGTTAAGCATAACTGGGTTAAGCATAAGTGGGTTATCCATAACTGGGTTATCCATAATATGGTTATGGTGCTTATGGTGCTTATTGGGGATGTTATGGTTGTGGGATATTGCTCATAAATATTTTATTTAAAAGCTGAGAGGGAAAAAAAGATATGAATTAGGCATTATAATTAATTAATATAAAATGAATTAGGATGAATAACCTAAAGAGTCTATAGAAAGAGAATCAGATGATAATGAAAAGAATGATAAGAAAGATCAAGTCTAACAACCAGAACAAAAGAAAAAGAAGAAGAAAAATAAAAAGAAAAAGAAATGGGGAGAAGAAGGTAATCTAAAATAAAAAATAATTAATAGAGGAAATACTTACAGATTTTGATGATGATTGGTAGAATAAAGTTAAATAATCTAAAATTTTGTAAGATCCAGATCTACCTTAACATATTAAAGAGAAGTATGCTATTTATGAAAATAATCCATTTATGATGATTATTTCAAATGTACCTCTTAATGTTTAATTAAAAGAATTGGAAGAATATTTTAATACACTAATTACTTCTCTTGATCCTAAAATAAGTATTTTTAATAACTGAATATTAGATGACAGACCCATAAAATCAATTGAATATGGAGCAACTAAATCTTGGGTTGTTTTAGAATGTAGTTCAAGAGAAGCAAAAAGAGCATTAGTTACACAGGATTAAGTTTAATTTGTCAATAATTGCAAAATTAAGGTTGAAAGACCTAGAAAATTTTTAGAGAGAATACTCAATCCATAAACTAAAGATGGAGAATTGAATCCAGAATAGAAATAAGAAGATAATACTAGATTATATTTGGGTGGATTGCCTACATATCTAAGGGATGAAGATGTGATGAAATTAATTCAATCTTTTGGAATAACCAAATATTTTAATTTAGTAAAGGATACTACTTCAAATACAGAAATTTCAAAGGGTTATTGTTTCTTTGAATATGAAAATACTGTGTCTACAGCCAAAGCTTTAAAGGCACTCAATAATTTATAAATAGGTGATAAAAAGTTGAAGATTTGTAAAGTTTAAGGTGAAACTCAATAAAATAAAAAAATAAATGGAAAAGATTAACCATCAAATTATGCAGGTTCATTTTTAGCTTCTTGTGATTTATTAAGAATTCCTTAAGTTTAATAAATGTTAACAATACCATAATCAGCATTAATTCCTAGTAAAGTTGTTTAATTTTTGAATATGGTAATAAATTCTTTTTAAAATTTTAAGTGTTCAATTTAAGATTTATATGAAGATGACATTTTTGAGGAATTGATAGAAGATATAAGAACTGAGTGTATGCGTTATGGATAAATTGAAAAAATAGAGATTCCTAGACCTGATAGGGAATCAGGGTATTTATAAAATTATAATTATATAGTTTCTGTAATCCTGCTGTAGGGAAAGTATTTGTTAAGTTTTATTATTAAATACCTGCAAAAAAGGCTAAGTTTCATTTAGCTGGACGTACATATAATAAAAGAACTGTTATTACTTCATTTTATCCTGAGGAATAATTTGATTATAAAGACTATTTGATAAATGGATGATTTAATAATTATGATATAAATTGTTAATGATGATCTGATCCCTTAAAATATAAAGGCAAATTCTCGATTAAGGGATGCTTATATAAAGTATTAGGAGCTAGTTTCAAGAGGCAAGATCAAATTGAAAATGAATAAATAAATAAATTGTGATATTGGTTAACAACTTTATTTCTTTAAACATAAAGATGCTTTGTTTTTCCAACATCCAGATAAATAATAAGAATACTATGAAGGATTGTTAAATAATCTTACATAATAAATTAAGTATTTTGAAAATATGAATTAGACCTTAGAAAGCAATTTCATATGAAAAACAATTAATTAAATAAATATAAGGTTTGAATCAATAAAAGTATACACCAGATAGTTTGAAGAATGAAATAATTCAACTTTACAAAAGAAAGATCTGTTAATTAAAAATTAGAAAATAGAGAACATTTTAATAAGAGGATAGTATATAGAAACCATAAGCAGAGTTGATTTATAAGCATAGAATATAATGGATTGATAATTAGATAATAAATTTAAATTAAAGATTGGAAAGACTTAGAATTGATGATGGAATAAAAAATTATAAAGATAATTAATAAGCATTATATAGTAATATATTTATGGATGATGTTGAAATATATTTGAGAAATAAGATATATTTTGATAAAATAAAATTACCATTTCGTAAATTAAAATATGTTTGTAAATGGATGCATTTTTTAGATAGATTTGAAATATAAGATAATGCAAATAAGATTTTAACTTAATTAAAAGTTTAAAATAGTGAATAGAATTAATAATATTTTAATGATATTGTAACAAATATTGAAAGCAAATTAAATCTTAAATATTGTAATTATATAAATTTATTTAAGAAATGAGTAGAGATGTAGTATTATAATTATAAGAGTATTTGAAACCACTTAAATTTTCATTAGATGAAAGTAGAATAACTTAAAGATTTGATCGTCTTCCTTTAGTAGTTCTAACTGATTATGAGATGTAAAATAGATTGTATTAAAGTGCATCTAAATTTCTTAAAAATCCTAGATAATTTGGTGAATAGAAATTAATATTCCATCTATGTAATTTATAACATATGCTTGATGGATATTAGAAATATTTATATGCTTGGGATAAATCTGAGAAAAATGAATATGATGGTTATAGTGGTTTATAGAAATTAACAATAGAATTAAGTGCTTTTGATGATTCAGAAGAATTAATCAAATAATTAAATCATCCATTACCTATATATCCTAACATATCACTAGTTTATGTTAAAAATGATTGGAAAATGCTATTAAATTCTAAAAACATAATACTTAATGAATATTAAACTTTTATGTTAAATTAATTAAATTTTGTAACTGTAGATACTTATACAGAAAAATTGATATAATTATTACCAATTAATTTAAATAAATCTATGTAAGCTTATATAGATTAATAAATTAAACAAATTAGAAGTGATAATTATACACTTTTCAATATTATTGAGAATAATGATTATATTGAATATACAAGAGAATCTTTAAGATTAAGATAGATAAATGAACTTTATGAATAAATATGTAATAAAGAGATTCATTATAGACATAAGACAAAATTCAAATCAGATCTTGTTAAAGCATTTGAAGAATTAATGATTGAATTAACTCCTAAAGAAACACATCTTTAAGCATACTTTTCAACTTTAGTTTGTAAAATGAGAGAATTTCATCGTAAAATATTTTATATTATTAATGCACTATAATCAATTGAAAGAAAACTTACTTTTAGTTTATTATCTTTAAGAGAATGTAAAGTAAACACAACTGTAGATACATAATTTCTAATTAAAGCTAATTAATAATAAAAATCTGAAGTAAATGATACTTAAATGAATCAATTAATTAATTAAAGAAGAAATGCAATAATTTCATATTTAGATGCTACTGATAAATCTACTTAGAAAATTAGATAAAATCTATCTCCAGAATTAAAGTATTGTAAAATAGAAGATGAAATTTTTTATTCAAATGAAGAATTACCTGATGTATTTATTAATCAAAAAATTACAAATCCTATTTATGATAGTACTATTGATGAATTTAAAAAAATAATGAAAAGAATAATATAATAAATATCACTTTATATTAATAAATATGAAAAAATTAGTAGTATTAAATCTATTAATCCTATTGTTGATAGATTTTAATGTACACTTGATTGTTTAGAATAAGAAGCTATATATTAATTTTAGAAATTAAAATTAGTTTAAACTTATATGAAGATATTTGATAATACTGTTGATCAATATCATGCATCAGAAATAATTGAAACCATTTTCGAAATTATTCAAGCAGTTCCATTATTAGATTTAGAATCATTTTACTTTAAAGATAGTTATATATTGAATTAAGATTTATTGAAAAATTAGAGAGAATTTATGGAAATATTAATAAATAAGTAATAATAACATGAAAATACATAAATAAAATAAATAAATGAATAATATGTATTAATTAGAATGCAATAAGAAGAAATTGAAAAAGTACTTAGTAGAGCAGAAACTCCTAAAATTGAATAAAAGACTGCTAGAGATTCTAGATTAAATGAATAATATGATTATTATAATGTAAGCAATAAAATGTCTTAAATCTTTTAAGAACTTAATACAACTAATAAATAATCAGCAGTCAATTTAAATTCAGCATCAAAAGATTTGAAAATTATTGATCCTAATGCAATATTACTACCATTTTAAATTCTAGAAGATTATAATGGATTTAATTTTACAGAATCTTTATATTTAGTTACTTTTATTATTAAAACTTTTTAAAATAGCTTTGAAATGCTCTAAGAATAATTTCCTTAAAATTCTATTTAAGGTTATTTAAGTCTTTAAATAGCCTCATTAAAATAAGCATAAGTATATTCATATTAAGATTAAAAATTGCCTTATATTAAAAAGTTTCATGAAAATACTTTATTTGAATCTGAATATGGATTAATCTAAAAGTATTTTGATAGAATAAAATCTACAGTATAAAATGATATTAATCCATATATTTTAAATGTTTCTTTATATGATTTAGAGAGGACATTAAATCAATAATAGATTTAAATAATAGATATTGGAGCTATAAATAATCTTTTAGAATATTTAAGATTAAGAAAACATTTTTTAAATATTTAATTAGAAATGAAAGTTTAACATAGAATTTATAAAAAAATACATGGATATCAAAAAATGAGTAAAACAAATGACTTATATTTTAAGAGTAATCTAGTTGATTTATAAAGTCAATATAAAAAGAATTAAGCTGTTAAATATTGTTATTCTCCATATTGTTTTGAAATTGATGCAACTTAAGAAGTACCTTTCATTTTATTAAAATAATTTGAAATCTTAGTTTTTCAAGATGTAATAGAAGAATTTAGAAATATAATATTATATGATTAAATCAATGTGATGTTTCTTTAAACATAAAATGAATTAAGATTTAATTATATTGATGATTATATGAAAGCTTAATTAGATTTGAAGCATTTTTCATAACTTGGTTATTTACCACAAAACTCAAAATTAACAATTAAATAAATTAATTAATTTGAATTCAATGAAAAATTGTAAATATTTATAATAAATATTTTAGAATATTAGCAAATTTACCTAAAAAACCTTAAGAAATAGATGAATATTTGAAATAAGCTAAATAAACTAAAGCTGAATTATTTATTAAATATGTAAATAAATACAAAGAGAGGCCAAGAGTAAATTCATTTCAAAGTGATAAAATGTAGATTTTATGTCTAAAAAAGGATTAGAAGTATATTATATAATATATATATAGTTTAAAACTATATTTAATAAAACGTTTAATTTAAGATTTTTTGAGTATTACTTAATATGAAGCTATTAAAGTTGATATTTTTTATACTTAAATGAGAATTAAAAGAATTTCATAAGTAATTCCTAATTCTAGTTAAATTGATAAGAATTTTTTATTATCTGTTTAAGAAGAACAATTAGTTTATGTTTAATAATTTAAACAGTTTGCTGAAAGATTGGAAACTCACATTCATATAGATCAATTTTATTCTAAAGATGATTTTTAAAAATAAAAGCAATAAGATTCAAATTGGGATCTTAGATAATATTATAAATCTATATATTAATACTTGATGGAAGTATTGAGACATAATACAATATATTTAAATTGGTTTGAATTATTACATATGAATGAACTATATCTATTTAATCTATCATTTGATTATTATGATTAAACAAAAGAGATGCTTTATTAAGGTAAATTAGGAAAGAACCCTATTAAAAGTGTTTTGGAGTATGATAAGTAAAAAATATAATTAATAATTTAGAAATTAAATGGATATTAAATAATGTATATCAGATTAAGTAATAGAATAACGAGCTTTGGTAGCATAAGCAATAGATAAAATGATAGATAAAATAAAATCATTTTATTCAATAAACAAAGTTTTTGAATCTTTTAATTAATAAATAGAACTATTCAAATCAAAAAATAAAATTAATGAATTAATACCAGAAATTAAATAATCATATTTAAATCTTTATTCTAAAACTTATTACATTTATAATTAATGTAAATTCTTAATATCCAAAGATGTAAAATATTAATTATATTTATTAGTATCCAGACTCTGAATATTATTAGTAATATTAATTGATTAATTAATGTCTTTTCTTAAAACATTAATTTAGCTCTGTGAATCTTAATTTCTTTAAAACTATATATGTCAGATATTAAAATATTTATAAGATTAAATAAAAAGAATTATATAGGGATTTTAAGAAATTGGATTCAAATATTTATACAGATTAAATTAAGATGATCAATTTAGTTTTGCCTATAAATAATGAGACTCTTTTGACTTGTTATCATAATGAATAACATTAAAATATTAGTTTGATGTTATAGGTTCCAGGTGTTATTGGTGTTAATGAAAGGATTATGTTGAGAAAACAGAATGTCATTAATATT